CGTGTCAAAGTAACATCCACATGAATACCAGGACCCAAGGTTTCCCAGCGGAACATTGGCCCAAGCATCACACTGCCTCCACCAGCTTGCCTTCTTCACATCCTGGCGCCATCCACATGATGTAAAAATAAAATGTGATTCATCAGACTAGGCCACCTTATTCTATTACTCCGTGATCCAGTTCTGATGCTCACATGCCCATTGTAGGCACTTTTCGTGCTAGGCATGTGTTAACATGGGCACCCTGACCGGTCTGCGGCTATGAATCCCCATACACAACAAACTGCGATGCACTGTGTGTTCAGACACCTATCGGAACCAGCATGTTTTTTTTTTTTTTTTTTTTTTAGCAATTTGAGCTACAGTACCTCTTCTTTTGGATCAGACAACATAGGCCAGCCTTTGCTCCCCACGTGCAGCAATGAGTCTTGACCGCCCATGACCCTGTCTCCGGTTCAATCGGGTTTCCTTCCTTGGAGCGCTTTTGGTAGGTCCTGACCACTGCAGACCAGGAACATCGCACAAGAGCTGCAGTTTTGGAGTGGCTCTGACCCAACCATTGTAACAAGATAATCAATGTCATTCACGTCACCGCTCAGTAGGCATAATGTTATGGCTGATTAGTGTAAAGGTTATTGTACCATCTTGAATATTTTGAAACAGATGTGGCAACTTAAATGTGTTTTGTCCATTATGTATTTTAGTAGCCACACATTGAAACCGGTTATCTCACAATTGAAAGCGTGTTCATGTCCCAGGTGAAAAGAAGGGAGGTGCAGCTGAAAAATATACCTGCAGAGGCCAATTCATCAAGTATAACTAACTAGCATCTAGACTAGAGAAACACAGGAGATTGTAAATGTCAATACTGAAAAATGGAAGGATTTGCTAAATGAGCTAGAACTACAACTGAGATTCTTAGTGGCTTGGTCGTGCTACTAAAAAGTAAAACTTGTAATGTGTAGTAAATGATCACTACACACATACAACAAATCGCTCCTTATGGATTAAGCTACAGAAGGAGCATGCAGTAGCATTTTGATCAATTGAAGCATTGTGCGATCCTGTGAGAATAACCACTGCTACATGTTACTTGTGTATCTCAGTCCATATTAACCCCTTCGTGACGGGAGACGTACAGTGTACGTCCCGGCACTTTGTGCCTATATGACTGGCCACGTACACTGTACATGACGAGTTATATCAGGCTTTGTAATGGCGGTAACAGCTGATTCTCAGCAGTTACCAGTCATTAATGAATGCCTCAGTATTGAGGAATTCATTAATGAAATAATTAAGCTTTTTGTAAAAGCTTCTTCCTTTCATTAATGAAAGACTGAAGTCGTTACATGCAAATAAATTTGCGATCCTGTATTTGACAGCTGAAAATAGCAGAGAGGTAGCAGTGACTCACCTCTCTATTTGTTTTGACAGCTCCAGAGCCCGATGTTTAGATACATTTCACTCAAAAGATACATTTTACTCAAAAGATATACATTGTATCAGTTCTGATCGTCTAGGCACGATCAAAGAGCTTTCAGTGAGATCTGAATCTGACTAAAGTCAGGATCAGTCTCTAAGGTTCTTATTAGCTGTTCCTAAGTTTGGAGCAGCTTAAAATCCAAAAATTAAAAAGTTAATTTATCAAGCAGTCATAGTGATTGCTTGATATAAACTGACAAGAAAAAGAAAAATTAAATAAAGTTTAAAACAAAATTAGGAAAATAAAAATTAAATATATTTTTTATAATATAAAAACATTCTAAAAATAATAATAATCAAAACTTGTGAAAAGTTTTTTTCCTCATTTTTTTATTTTATTCAAACTAAGTGAGGGGTTAGGTACACATATGTGATATAATTATATAGCCCTATCTGTCCTCTACAAAACTATATATATGTGTGGGTACATTTAGTAAGAAAGTATATTACTGCTGTGGAAGAATCACACAGCAAAAGTGTCAGTCATTTATGAACAGAAACTGAAAACTAGCTCAGTCATGAAGGGGTTAAGGCATTTCTTTAGTGCTAGCCATTTTAGCAACATAATTGAGCAACTAAAAATCTCCTGTATACCTCTGGGCTTAACAGCCAGCAAGTGGTTAAATCTCCCAATAGCAAGGGATTCAAAGCGTTCATGTAGCTTAGCCCTAACGTGCCTACTGTAGCATTCAAATGATGTGTAGCTAGTATTAAGGGACCCTAACGTGTGAGCAGAAAACATTCCTGCCATTGAACCACGTGGAACCTGGACTGTTGACAATACAAGAATGATCCATGGACAAAGAACTCCAGGAAAAAACGTATTAACCCTTGCAGTGGGGCTATCCCCACAGTGTTGACTTGTTCTTAGACCGGTCCTTCCTCCCTCTGCTGCAGCGGTCTAAGGTTCCGTAAATCATCACAATCTATACAGTGTGTATAGATGTTAGGCGCTAAGGAACATTCCAATGCTGCAGAGTAGGATAGAGGCTGGAGGGAGGTATGTGACGGCTGACCGGCTCAGAGCTTCGGGGGACTAGAACTGTTATTTTTGGGGGAAAAAAAAAAAAAAAAAAGAAGAACAGATTCCTCCATCAACACTTACGAGAGTAGAACAAGGAAGCCCCTGATGTTTCTTTTGTATTCGGACAGCGACCGCAATCAGAATATCCAAACGAGCCTGTAGCTGATTGGCTGATAGCTCCATTCAGCTGCAAATTTTCTGCCATGCTCCTTCGATCAGCTGACTAAGGAATGCCTGGGAGAAGGGTGCCGACAGCAGCGCACACGCACAGCGAATTTCGGCCAGCTCATCAAGAACCGTCTGAAATTCACTGCGTGTATAGCCTACTTTATGGTATGTATGCCTTTTTTTGACCCTATGATTTGCATGTCACAGCAGAAACTAAAATTAGTCAGACCAAGTTTTTCCATTTTGGCGACTCTGTTCCCACTGTAGCCCAAATGTTCCAGTTCTTAACTAACATGAATGAAACCTGGCATGATCTTCCACTGTGCAATGTGTGTTCAGACATTCCCTTCAGAACGCCACTGTTGTGATTAGCTGCAGACTGCCTATCAACTTGAAAAGTTACGCAATTTTTCAATGACCTCCGTCAACGATGTGTTCACTGCATGTTTATGTTTCCCACACCATTTTGTTGTGTGGTTGCCCCCGAAATTCCAGGTCAGCCGTTTAAGAAGATGTAACCAAAACATCTGTTACCCCAAATCAGGGGTGCCCACAATTTTTTGTGTTAAGATTTACTTTTCAAATGACGAGCTACATGAGATCTACCAACGAAAAAAAAACCTCCCTCGCTCTCTCTCTCCTGGCGGTCTCTCCCCTGGCTGTCTCTCACCGCTCTCTCTCCTGGCTCACCTTGCTGTATTTTGCAAACAGTGTAGTGCAACAGGCTGTGTAAACTAATATTCTTTGATGTAATACATAGCACTTCAACCTCCAGTATCCACCAGAAAGGTGACAGGGAGCTTGGCTCAGCAGACTAATAGGTAATCATGTGTGCACAGCTAAATAAATATACCAAAATTGAATAAAGGGGCCGCCATTCACACCCTTCCTGATCTTTGAGAGCTAATGGTAGATCACGATCTACCTAATGGGCACCCCTGCCCTAAATCAATCCATGGTCACAGGCTTTAAAGAAGGGTAGTCCAACCTTAGCCCTCCAGCTGTGATAAAACTGCAAATCCCATCATGCATCTGGCTTTAAGAGTCTTGCAAAGCCTCAAGTGGATTTGTAATTTCACCACATCTGGAGGGCCGAAGATTATGATACTTTATATAGCAGTAAAAAATGTTGCTGCAAATCAATATATAATCTATATATAAAGTCAAATTGCCTATTTAAAGGGGTCACCCAGCAAGTTTTGCCATGCAGGTGGGTGCTAAAATACCAGAAGACCAAGTTGTACTAAAACTTTGCAATGAGAGGTTTGGGTAACACTATGTTAAAATTTTACACCGATCTGAAATTATACACTGTGATTTACTGGCTTCATTTTATTTTTATTTCCCAATCTAACATATCTTAACATTATTCAATCAACTATACATAAGAGAAACAAAGATTTCTGCATTGTCATTGTGTTGAATATATCAGTGCAATCATGTCTAATAAATGTAGAGGAGGAAAAAAAGAAAAAAGCAATATATGTTTTCAAAGAACGCCACCTTTTGTTCGCGGGAACATCAAGTGCTGTACTGAAAAAAAAAATCGCCATTGTTTGAGGACAAATGCAAGGATATTTTTTTTCCAAGGCTGAGATGACATCAATAGAAAAAAAACTCACAAAGATGACATCCAGAACTTTTGTCTGAAAATTTTATTTCAGTTCTCTGAACACTCTAAAGCCACAATGCTTCAGATGTTACACAAGTGTCCAGTTAGGATTAACAAAAAAATTAAATGTTTCTAAATTACAAATTTGACTTTTATGTGTAAGAGCTTCAGAGGAAGAACAGAAATTAGACACACACATCATGGGAGGAAAAAAAAAATCAAACAAAAAAGGTCATGCAATGGCAGGCAAGATGTGAAAAGCCACCTGACGCCACAGATTTTGTACATTGAAGAATCATCAGAAAAAAAAAAACTCCTTAATAAACCTGTACATCCAAATACATTTGGGATCTAAACCTAAGTTACATTATTTAATGTTATATACACATCTTCCCATATTTACGTAAAGCCTTCATTGAAACCCCAACAAAATAAAAAAATATGGAAAAAAAAACAAATTATTCCAAAACATGAAAAAAAAAAGAACATTGAAAGGATGGGGGTTACTATCAGATTCCGTTAAAATGTCTTATGTAGACCTCACATGGGTCATAAAAACATATTTTACTATACAGTGAATTACAGTGCCGAGAACAGCTGTTTTCAGCCCTCTTTGGATGGATTCTTAAAATGCAGTTTCATGTTATTCTTTCAGAGATAAATATGTGGGGAATTGGTCCAAATACATGGAAAGCTGTTATTTTACATGCAGTTTTTTCAGTTGTCTTGCCTCGAGAATACGAAATGGTTGCAGGTTTACTGCACGGCACAAACTGGTAAGAAACCCACAGGCAAAATATAAAACAGACATTTCTAAAGCGGCAACAAAAATGAAAGAAAAAAAAAAAGGAAGATTCCTGGAACAGCCATCTTATAGAGTGTTAAGAAGGTACCAAGAAGACTACTAATCAACTAGTTTGAGCAGCCAAGATTCCCTCTTATTTATTGAATGGAACAAATGCTTTAAATAAACTGCGTGTCCTCTTCACTGAAGAGAGCTAGTCTATTCATCTTTTATGAGCTAGTTTTTTTTTTTTTCTTTTTTGTTTTTTTTGGGGAAGATCAGCCATGTACTGTAGTAATGCTTACTGCATATAATCCAAGCATTTGCTGTGACCAGTTGGAGAGAGCAGTCTGTAAGAAAACTAGGATCAATGAAAGAGATGCCATTTTAAGCCATCCACAGAACGGAGACCAACACAGTACCCAGTGTTAAAACCCAATCTCTTCTGGCACTAATGTGCATGTTTCACCCCCAGCCCTGGAAAAAAGTAGTAACTGATCCACAGTTCCAATTCCCGCTGGATCTCTCAGTCAATTTTCACATTAGTGTAAATTTTCCGGACAAAGGCACTTGTTCCCATGTAACCAATCGCTCCTATTGGAGGGAAAGAAAGAAAAATTAGTAGCCTTACACTAATAGCTGCACAATAATATAATATGTAATAGATGTTTTAGTAATAATTACATTTGCAAACAAATTATTAAAGAAAAAGTTCTACTTCTGTCATTTTCTAAGTGCAAGTGACACAAAAATAGGCCTCTGCTTCTTATGGGCCCAGCCATATGTATATCATACAAGACTAATGGCCCATTCACACCTAAGGAGTCCATAGCAGTGCATTAAAAGATAACTATTTAGTAACCTTTTTATCCCATAGTTCTCTTTAGGGTCACGGGAGGCCATATACTAACCTCCTCCTGTGATCCAAAGCTCAGTATATCGCAGGCTATTGCCCGCGATATACTGAGAGCGCCGCAGCTGGGACGGATCCGACAGTACTGTCGAGATCCACCCAGCAGCGTGAGTGACAGCTGGCTCTGCCACTCAGCGTCAGCGCTGGTGGATCAGAGACGGTGGATTGTTGTGGGGTTTGGTGGGAATCCCTGCAGCGAGCAGTGACTAACAGTCACCGCTCATTGCAGAGAGACTATCGGGAAGTGAGCAGATCGGCTGCATGTTTCTGCTCACTTCCCAATCAATAGCGCCGACCTGCGACAGCTTCTTTGTCACAGGTCGGCTCTAACTATGGAAATCACTCACCTCATAGGTCTCCTATAAGGTGCGTTGCATTACATGTTAACGTGAAGCACCATTTTTCTTAATGGAGTTTACCACAATACGTTACCATAGGTTTTGGTGCATTTGAGGTGCACTGCGCTTGGACTGGTGATGGGGCTCTATTAGAAATATTATATTTAAAATTCAGTTTATATACAGCCCTAATTGAAATAAAGGTTTTTTTGCTGAGACTTCAAATAGGTTTTGGAAACCTGCTACTTTGCCCCATGCGCATTAGTTTAAAAAACTACTGATTGCCAATTACTTTGGGACTTGCATCGGGTACAGCAAGCTAGCTTTAAGTTAGTGTTTCCCAACTATGCAACAGCTAACAAGCCATGTTTCGTGCTTGTTGTACAGTTATATTATTTACATTGCCACAGTGAATAGTGCTGGACTTCTGTAAAAATTATATCTAAAATGGAGCTTATCCGATGTTTGTGTGGGTGTGCTTTTTGTCCCCAATTCCCCAAACCTTCCCAGTCGAAACACATACCAAAGACTACCCATAGAAACATTAAATGCGCATTTTCAATATGAATGAGGTAAGGAGAACAGACCATAAAACTTGGCTTAAGAAAAGAAAAAATCTGACTGCATATGCCTCAGAAAGTGCTTAAGATTTTACTGCCGCTATATAAATAAAACAATTACATTCTCTAAACTATAATCTGCAGACCCTTCAGAGAAAAATCAAAGGGCTCTTATAAAATGTGCCCTTCATCCATTATGCAGTTGAATCTGAAAATCTTTTACATACAGAACGCCTTCTTATCAAACAAAGTACATTAACAAGCTTTGAATGAAGTTCCCAACAGGTGTTAGTTTTATTTGCTCCCCCTAATTATGGACTAAACAACTTCAAAGCAATGTTTTTTGTGTAAAACACCGAAGCTATCAATTTACTAGTAATTGGTTACATAGTTGAACCTGTTTATAATCACAGCTCACACAGCGTCCCCAAATAGTCCAATGTGTGCTTGCCTTTACTGTAAATTGTTCTTAAAGCAATAAATACACTGCAAAACATTCTTCCTACATATCCTAGAAATCAATTTTCATTAAATACAAACTGTACAAACAGGACAAACTTACCACACATAATTCCCAAGGCGGTACTAAAAACTGCCATATATCCAAAGTAAAATGATGTTTGAAACAATCCATACATTCTGTTTTTCAGAACAAACAAAAGGGAGAAAGTTAATTTACAGATCAGTATTAAGGTTTTCATATTGCTAACAGCTACCAACAAAACCAAAGTCAGGACAAAGTTGCAACACCCTACATAAATCTGTTACTGCATCGAGTCTCAATACACAATGCCATTGCTCAGAAGTAAAGTAGAAGTCAATACAAATGTATTAAGATCCCACACACAATTAAAATTAGACAAATGCCATTTTGATGTATATAAAAGGTCAGTGTCATTTGGAATCGTATTGTTATAAAAATAAATGCAGATCGGGTTTACATGATTTAAAATAAATAGGACGGGCACAGGAATTTATACTATTGGGTTATACACTGCCACCTAAAGGAGGATTGGACACTGGCAAAATGCAGTTCAGCCCAGGATAACCCCCCCTACTTCCATCATGCCTCAGTTAAGTGGCAATGCACTAGCTAGAACATGAACATAAACACAGAGGGGTGAGACCTGTGCCGCTCAATGACTGCAGAAAAAAAAAATTATTTAATAGCAATTACACAAGTCCTATTCAGAAACTGTTGGGACATCCAAAAGCAGTCCAGCTGGGGGGGCAGGAAACAACTTCACATTAACCCTAGGGCAGGGCTCAAAATGTCAAGTCCTGAGCTACTAGCCAGGCCTTAAGAGTTACTCGCCACCAGTCGCCCCACCTGACCCCTACCGTGCCCCGCCCTTAACTCCGCCAGGTCAGTGGTGTGACACAGAGAACAGTAACAATGCAGAGTGCAGAGGCCAGCGGTGTGATGCAGAGTACAGAGGCCAGCATTGTAATGCAGAAAAAAGCAATGTATCCTCCATGTCCCAGGTGTCCTGCTTCTCCCGTGCTGTCCTTCCAGCCAGTAGCAGCTCTGCAGTCTTCCTCCCAGCCTATG